AAAAAAAAAAAAAAAAAAAAAGACTAGGTCCCAGCCACCCTCTCCACCCTGCCCCTTTGAAATGCCCCTGGGTTGATGTACGGGAGACTGGGCCCTATCCCAGATTAAGTCAGAATTTCTGGCGATGGGCCAAGGTGTTTGTAGTTCTTAAAAGCTCCCCAGGGGATTACAATAAAACCAAAGGTTGAGAACCACTGATATACATTATCCCAGCGCATCCTCTTACCCATACTGTTAAATAACTTGGATCAAGTCAAAGCCAGTGAATAGCAGCAAGCTGGTGACAGTGAAAAACAGCAGTTTCCAATCGCCAAGCGCATACTTTCCCTGACTACACAGTAAACATTTATCTCTGAATTAGTTCAACTTATCAGCTCTGCTGATGATCACCGAGGGTACAGCTCAGAGCTTTGGGAATCCTACCCCACTGTGGTGCATTAGGGGCAGGGGGCAGTGCGGGGAGACAAGGAAGAACATTCTAGAATTCACAGAAGTTCTGTTTCTGAGGGCAGAATCACTATTCTACTAGTTATCCAGACCCCCAAATGTCAGAATTATCTGAGTCCTACTTTTCATATAATCTCTTTTCATATAAACCATTTGTTTATTTTTTCTTCCAAATATTTTCCCTTCCTCTTCTTTCTCATTGCCACCCTCCAAAGCAAGGCCTGTATCACTTCATTTCTAAATTATTAAATTTAATGCCCAATGAGGCTCACCGGCACCAGACTTTCTTCTCTTCAATTCATCTTGCTCACTCTTTCCAAATCACTCTAAAAGTGTTTACATCGTTACTCTGCAGTCTTCCAAAATCTTCATTGGTTCCTATTGCCTAAAAGGTCCAAACCCCTTACTCTTCCACAATCTAGCCCACACTCCTGCTTCCAAATCTGTTCCCCACAAATCATTGCAGTCTAACTACTCACTGCTGCTTAAACACGCCAAGTGCATCTTCAGCACACACGGTGCATGCTGTGATGGAAACAGCTTTAAAGTGGGACAATTCTGCGTTCTGATCCCCATTCTGGGTAAGACTGTAGAGTTATTTAACCCGTCTGAGCTACAATTCTTCCTTTGCCACAGTTGAGTAACAATAGCGATTTCATAAATTGATTGTGGGGATTAATGAGTGAATGCATACAAAGATAAATCGGGTGTGGTGGATGTTGGACACGGTGGATATTGTTACTACTTTGCTTAAACAAGCTCCCTAGCTAGTAGCGACCGGTTCCCCTTTCTTCCTGGGTTGGGTATGAATATACTCTCTCTTATCTCCAAACCACCACTCAGTGCTCAGCTCTGGCCACTTGGCTGAAACTGCAAACCATATTTCTGCTTTGCCAGCCACTCCTTGGTGGGCTCCTCAAGAAGGAGATGTCAGAGGGGACTACAGGCTGGAGGAGGAGACAGGAGGGAATGCGCTCTTTCTGTGTGCTGGAGGCTCCTGTCTGTGTAATTTCAGCCACAGTTCCTCCTGCAGCAGCAGCAGGCTCTAGTTTGCAGTTTTCTCACCCTACAGACCAGCCTCATTGTGGCTTTAAGAGACATCAACACCATCAGGCCAGGACTGCCGCCTTAGCTTCAAGTTTCTAAATTCAAATAATCCCAACCTCTTCCCTTTGTTCCTCTACATCTAAGAGTGCTAGCTGCTTCCTGTACCTCTCATTTCTGCAATAGCTCAGGGTTCCCTTGATGTTCTCCAGCTCTCTATACTGAATTGTCTGTTTCTCTAACCGCTGTGTTTCCTGACCAGGTCCTGGCTAGTCCACTTCCTGTCTCCCCTCCTCCGTGGGGGGCATACACTCTGGAGTTGGATACACACCTCCCTGCAAGAAGCCCACCATGGGCATCCCATCCTCTGAACTCTACAGACCGTCAGACTCACCATAGAGCTGGCATGAACCTCAGAAATGAATGGTTGTTTTTTTTTTTTTTTGAGATGCAGTCTTGCTCTGTCGCCCAGCCTGGAGTGCAGTAGCGTGATCTCAGCTCACCACAATCTCCGCCTCCCAGGTTCAAGCAATTCTCTGCCTCAGCCTCCCACGTAGCTGGGATTACAGACACCTGCCACCACACCCAGCTAATTTTTGTACTTTTAGTAGAGACGGGGGTTTCACCATCTTGGCAAGGCTGGTCTTGAACTCCTGACCTCGTGATCCACCCACCTTGACCTCCCAAAGTGTTGAGATTACAGGCGTGAGCCACCGCACCCAGCTGAATTTCTAATATGACTCTTGTCTTGCACTTGAAGAAGCTGAGTTTCAGAAGTTACCATCAAAGGCACAGCCTCCCCCTGATTCTCTTACCTGACTTCCATGACAAGTTGCCCAAGGGAACCATTCACTAAGAACTCAATCACCTGAGGCTCTGAGGCACTCCCTTAAGTACTGTCTAGAGTATCATCCAACTGCTACTGTTCTGCTAGGCATCTTTCTAAAGGAACACAACTGTGAGTCACTGAGCCCCACAAAGAACTTGGTCCTATGTATACACCGTGTATGTGGGCATGTAGAGAAGACTCCAAATAAAGTCTGGTGAGTGAACAATTTAATCCAGACTCTGAGCATACAGAAGGGATGTCCATGCTCTCATGTGTTCTAGATTATTGCTGGCAAGGACCAACACCTGTATCCAATAATATCTGGGAAGTGTAGTTTTATGACCTTCATGGATGCTGAAAGGTCTTCTGAGTTGTTTTCTCTTTAGATGCAACAAAACAGAAGCCTTACTAGAATTTTATAGGAATACATATCCTATTCACTGGACAAGAAGTACACGTAAATTCACAGCACAGTTTTATCAGGTGATGTTTCCTCACTGACAGAATTTAATGTTAAAAGTTATAAATAAAGTTTTAATGGGGCCAGGCACGGTGGAGCATGCCTGTAGTCCCAGCTACTCAGGAGGCTGAGGCTGGAGGATCGCTTGAGTCCAGGAGTTCTGGGCTGTAGTGCACTATGCCCATCGGGTGTCTGCACTAAGTTCGGTCCTGGGAAGGGGGGACCATCAGGTTGCCTAAGGAGAGGTCAACCAGCCCAGGGCAGAAACGGAGCAGGTCAAAACTCCCATGCTGATCAGTAGTGGGATTGCACCTGTGAATAGCCACTGGACTCCATCCTGGGCAACATAGCAAGACCCTGTCTCAAACAAACAAAAAAAAGTCTTAATGGGACAAAACATTTTAAAGAGGTTGTCGACTTTTCAAATTTCCTTCCATAAATTTGGCTATAATGTGATAACCTCACATTATGCAAAGGGAGTAACTGACCCAATGAGATGTTTTTTCTGTCAGTTACCAGGGCTGTGCAGGGCTGTGTCAGCCTGACACAGGGACCACGTCTAGGACTCAGAGAGTGTGACCTGATCCTTGTCATGGTCCTCCTCCTCTATACATGCCTCCTCTGCAGAGCTTTGCCTTCCAAAGAAGTCACGCTCTGCCTTGGAATCAATTTGTAAAACAATGTCTATCGCTGTGCAGCTGCTGGAGGGATGGAGCAGAGTGGGGGCTGGAGGCTGCCAGAGGAGCGGGCTGCTCTGCCAGAGGAAGACAACGGAGGATCCAGTGAAATGAGTTAAAATGTAACTTTGGCCTATGCTTTCTAATTTATTTATATTGATTTGGAAAATTCCATGGAAAATGAACTTGGGGGCTCCTATTAGCCAGATAATTAATTTCTTTCTCTGTTTTATTTTCTCTTTTGAATTGTTGCCAGCCTTCGAATTGAAGAATAAGTGTCCAGTGGATCAGAAAAGCATATGGAGAAAAGATTGAATGCAAACATCTACTAAACACACTGTGTGCCAGACACTGGGGAAGCGCTGGATAGCCTACGGCAGAAGAAGGCTACACGTTAGAGTCAC